GGTGTCTAGAACTTTTCTCTCTGCATCCTAAATAGGGATGTAATACTGTAGTCGATTAACCGATAAGCAAAAGCTTATAGATTAATGCTATAGACCACATGCATTCCTCCCCCCCTCCCCCTGCCAGTAAATTTTTTATAAGGCTGGCCAACAGCCCAGCTCAGTCCTGGCTCGCACCGGGGCCAGGACCTATCCCCGCTGTAGCTCTGAATTTAAAGTACCGTATTTTCCGGCGTATAGGGCGACTGGGTGTATAAGACGACCCCCTATCTTTTTAATTAAAAGATAGGGTTTCATCTTATACCCCAGCGCCCCTCCGCCTCCTTTGCTCCCGGTGTCCCTGGTCTGCTGGAGATGGTCCCGAGCAGACCAGGTTTCTGAAAATCTAAGTATACTATATCTACTGGATCCCCCTTGTCTGCATGTTTGTTAACCCCTTCAAAGAACTCTTAGGGTATGTCTACACTACCCCCCTAGTTCGAACTAGGGGGGTAGTGTAGACATACCCTTAGTGTTGATAGAAATACATGCACAAAGTCATGCACCAGTAAATTAGTAGCTAAAGTGGGACTGGAACTGCTGCTCTCCCTAGTGTCACCTCTCACTCTAAATCATCAGTAGCACACTCTGGCTGCATCTACACAGCGGAACTATTTCGGGATACATCTGGTATCCTGAAATAGCTATTCTACGTCTTAAGAGCAAGCCCATTATATCGAATTATAACAGGCTCACTCTTCTGACATCCCTGTAAACCTCATTGCATGAGGGATAAGGGACATTTCAGAATAGCGCCTTATTTTGAAATCTGGCGCCACGTAGACCGCGCCAAATTTTAAAATAAGCCATTTTGAAATAACGTTGAAATAAGCTATGCAATTTGCACTATGCCAATTGCATAGCTTATTTTGAAGTACCGTATTTTCCGGCGTATAAGGCGACTGGGAGTATAAGACAACCCCCTAATTTTTTAGTTAAAAGATAGGGTTTCATCTTATCCCCCGGCGCCCCTCCGCCTCCTTTGCTCCCGGTGTCCCAGGTCTGCTGGAGATGGTCCAGCCGCGGAGGGGCTCCGGAGGGGGGGCAGCCCATGCGCGCCTGGGATGCCCCGCCGCCGGCTTCCCCCGAGGCTTTCAAAGCCGCGGAGGGACTCCGGCGGCGGGGCATCCGGCGTACAAGACGACCCCCGATTTTTGGGGGATGTTTTTTAACTTCAGAGGTCGTCTTGTACGCCGGCATATACGGTATATTAGGCAGCCAGGCAGGCAGGGAGCCCGGCTCAGTTCCAGCTTGCACTGTGTCCGGGAGCTCAGACCACCAGCCCCAAGCAGTGTCACCCCGCACTGCTGCCTCTGTATCAGAGCAGAGATCACCCAATACCTGCAGAGGCTCAGATAAATATAGAGAGAAGGGCCACCCAGGGACTAATTATGGGGGACCAGATCCAGCCCACAGGCCAGTATTTGCCCACCCCTGGACTAACACAAAGGTGCTTGCACACAAATAGTAGAAGTCTAAATACTAAGTGACTGAACTTGAGTGCCTGCTATTAAATAAGAATTTTTATAGCAGTAGCAGCTTGCCAGGGACTAACCCTAACAGGCTGCTGCTTTTTTATTTGGCTGCTACTTTTTTGCCCACCCCTACATTAGTCAATACTTAGTTGTCTGGCTTCATGCGATATAACTGAATGGGACTCTTTCATTTGACTGTTTCTTCTTAGTTCCTACTCAATAAATTTCTATCCTACCCTCTTTACTAGGACACAGTATCCCCTAAAGGATGTCTCAGTCTAAATTGTGTGCTCCTTTGCACCTCTTGCTTTTCCCACAGCCCTTAATTTAAAAACTCCTCTATGGGCTTTTTAATTTTATATGCCAGCTATCTGATTACATTTTGGTTTGGGTGGAACCCATCCTTTTTCTATAGGCTTCTCTTTCCCCAGAAAGATTTCCCAGATCCTAATAAACATAAATCCCTCCTCCATACACCATTATTTCTACTACACATTGATACTCTGAAAATTAACCTAACTGTCCTGGGTGTGGAATCAGAAGCATTTCAGAGAATTCTACCACGGAGGTCCTGATCTTTAATCTCTTACCTAGCAGCCTAAATTTGGCCACCAGGACCTCTCTCCTACCTTCTCTATGCCATTTATATCTACTTGTATCCTGACCATCTGGTCCACCCCAGCACTGCACAGATGTCTGACTAGATGGTAAGTGGTCCTCAACCTTCATAACCAGCCTATAATTCCCCATGCAGTTCTCCCAAACACCACAAACCCAACTCTCTACATTTCTAATATTCTCGAAGTATGTCATAGTCTATATAGTGTGTGTGTTTATTCCATTCCACATGTGTATATTGCTCACTGCAGCCACTATCACTGTTATTATCTGTAAACTGAAAATTGCAATAATTTTGTAGCCACAATATAGGCCATTAAAAAAAAAAGAAGTAAAGAATAACTTTTATTGAAACACAGGAAACTGTATGCTGAGAGACTGTGTAAGAAAAGTTGAAATTTGAGCAGGACATTGATTAGCCAATTTAATCCTAGAGTTGAGTAAGTAATGAAAATAATGTCCTTTTCCAACAATATGTCAATCTTTTTTGGAATTTTTCTGGCCACTTCCTATGAATGGTATATGGGGATGTAAATAGGAAGGCAAGGTTGATGTAAAGATGTCAAGAAATTGTTCACTGTCTTTTGTCTATTTTCTAAGGTATTTTTACATTGGAAATGCATACATGAAGAACAGTTAATATATGTTCAACCGTAAACCCAGAGCACCAGCGTTTCAAAACACATATTGCGTGAAAGTATAAAACTTCAATTGAGTGAGAAATTAGAAGTACTGTACTATAGTGATAGAGATGTAGCCGTGTTAGTCTGGGCCTAACCAAGTGAGTTATAAGATCAAGAATACATATTCCTGCGCCTCCAGAAATATAATCTATGCTATCATGTGCCGAAAGTGTCCATCTGCTATGTACATTGGACAAACGTCTCAGACACTTCGCCAAAGAATCAATGCCCACAAAACAGACAGACAGGATCACAAAGAAAAAACAAACAGTTTCTTGCCATTTCAACCAGAAAGAACACTGTCTCAATGACCTAATCACATGCATCCTACTTCAGAAGACTTTCAAATCTACACTTGAAAGGGAATCCTCTGAACTGGCATTCATGCTAAAATTCGACACTCTCCGCAGGGGAATTAACAAAGACTCCAACTATCTTACCCATTATAAAGATAGCTTCCCCAATTATCACCTCTAATACTATTAACTCACAGACATCTTAAAAGGCTGTTGTGAAGACACTGTTTGCTGATGGGAGGGGCTTTACTTTTGATGTAGGTATTACACCTCTCTCAAGAGATGGTAGCTAGGGTGATGGGAGAATTTTCTTGTATCCTTTGGTATATATGGTTGTGACTATTTTCTTCCATTATTTGATCTGAGGAAGTGGGTCTGGCCCACGAAAGCTCATCATCTAATAAACCATCTTGTTAGTCTTTAAAGTGCTACATAGTCCTGTATTTTGTTTCAGTACTGTACTAGCATTTAAAATGTATACATTGTAGTACTGTGTTTATCAACCTTATTTTTAAGCAGAGAAAATGAAGCATTAACTTATAAATAGCTCTTTCATTACATAGCCAAATTTTTCACAATACAAAACCCAACGATAAATATTTAATAAGACCCCAGTTCCATAAAGATACATATTTGCTCAACTTTAAAAACAGTCTGTAGCCCCTTTGATGTCAAAGAGATTACTCTACAGCTGTGTTCCCTGTAAGATGAGCACATGGCAGCCACCCAGGAGAGATTCAAATGCTGCCTAATTAGCAGAGCTTGCCCCCACCTTCATGCTGCAACCTCTGATACAGAGGCAGCAGCAGAGGTGGAGGGGGGTGTCTGTATGTAACTGCGCACATTAACCAATGAGCCCAGGCATAACCATGGACATGTTAACCTCTCCAGTTAAAAGATCTCTGTACATACAGAAAGGAGTTCAATTCTTCAGATTCTGATACATAGGGGCTGCGTCTAGATTGGCATGATTTTCCAGAAATGCTTTTAACAGAAAAGTTTTCCGTTAAAAGCATTTTTTGGAACAGAGCGTCTAGATTGGCACGGACACTTTTCTGCAAAAGCACTTTAAATTTAAAATTTAAAGTTAAAAATTTAAGGTGTTAATCCTGGACTGAGTTAGTCACAGGTGCTAACACGTGTCAATTGACAGCTCTAATGAAAACCCACTACAGACAACTGGAAGTATGAACACCAGCTAAGAGCAAAATGTGGCCAACAGAACCTTTATTGTTGGTGATCTTGCAAGCAGTGGTGCAGGAACATTTTTAAGAGTGGGTTTGCTGCCACCCCTCTTGCCCCTGGTCTTCACACACAACCCCAGCTGTGGCCAGGAGCAAAGCCCCTCCAGTGAGAGGAGGCAGCCAGGATCCTGCAGCACCCCCTCAAACCTCTATCTCCTGACCTTACATAGGCAACTCGTGGGAGCACCCAGGAGGTGCACTGCTCCTCCTCCCTGCAAAATTGTAATTGCTAAATGGGGTCCGTCATACCCCCTCCCTGTTACTCGGGGTGGCCTTCCTTGCACACCTGCCCGCGCGCGCACACCCACATCCCTCCTGCACTTATGCTTGCAATAAGGAAAGACCCCACCTTGTGCGTGCAGAGCTACAACACAGAGACGGGAGGAAAAGCATCCTCCGAGTTGTAAGTTACCCACCCCTCCTAGGGAACTCACTGAAGTGCACCTGTGCCTTGTGAGGCCCCCTGCGGAGCAGCAGGGCGTAGCCTCGCTAGCTCAGACCCCGCTTTCCCCTGTCACAGCAGCGTCTGCCTCCAACAGGCACTGCGCCTCAGTTCCTTATTTAAGGGCACGCGAGCGGCTGCAGCTCCCAGGTCAGGCTTCAGGCTGCGTCTCCAGCTCTAGGGCGGGAGGCAGAAGCTTTTACCTGTGAGGGGGAGACGGCAGAGCGCCGGTCCCTCGCTTCTGCTTGGCTGGGGCGACACCGGCCAGCCCAGGCGCGCCCCGGCCACGCGGCCGGGGC